GAAGAAAGCAGATCAAAAATCAAGGTTATGGCGACAGTTTTCTATGTTTAGTGCACTCCGAATTCCTTCCGACGGGCCAAACTGTCAACAAGGAATACCATTAGAGTGCGACGTTCCGCGCGACTATACGTAAAAAGATGCCGGAATTATGGGCCGGCAACTCTTTGCTCATACTAGTAGTACATCCATCCACATTCAAATATTGGTTTAGCTACTAAAAGCATTTTAACACATCGTCCGCCTGGACCACCATGTGCTCTGCTGGTTTTATTAATCTGTGGAATAATTTCTAAATTCGGCATCAATAGCTTGTGAAGCGCCCCAGACAGTTTGCAGTTGGCGACTGAATGCTCCACTTCGGTGACGGCGTTGACGCTTGATTTCATGCAAATTTTCGTATCTCTTCAACATTTCAAAATATTTTTTCTTCCTTTGATTTGTTGTTTTCGTAAACATTTCTTAGTTTTTTTTGTGAATTCTTTCTTTCTCATTCAGTCTCTCAAGTTTTTAGCGACAAAGTGTTAAATGATTTAGGTGCAGCATCGTGACGTTCAAACTTTACACTTTACGGTTATGTATGGGTGTACGGTGCTTTCGTCGGTGTGTGCATGTGAGTTTGGGGCCCTTGCGTCGGTCTCTGTTTACTTCCTCATTTTGTCTACTTGAGTACCACTAAACGATGCAGACACAATTACATATTTACCTTTATATACCTACGAGTATGTGCTTCAGTCAGAACTGTATGTACTCCATTTCGTCGGGAAAACGGAGTTCATGACATATGCATATTTGGAGTATACATAGTAGTTCAAGCATTTGTGAACACTCTTCTTTTTAACCTTGCTAAATTTTTTATTTAACTGAGTCTAGTAGGTAACTAGTATCGATTTTGCACACTCTGTAACTAGTTAGTAACTAGTTGGTAATTCATCCATACTGTTATTTTCGTAATGGTACCTTATTTTTAACCAGACACAGTCTATCTAGTAACTAGTGCTTAACCAGTTGCTTCTTCAGTTGATCTCTGCAGCGCATACCTGAGCACATACACATACACATGTTTTTGGGTACAAATCGTGAATGTACGTCGATCGAACGTGTGCAAATAGCAGAAAAAAGAGATAAATATCCAAACTATCCAGCTGAAGAAATTAAATATTTATCGTCGTGGCAGTTCGTTAGCATACATATGTATGTTTCTCGCGCTTGTTACAAATGCCATTGGGTGTACCCATCTTCATACATATGTATGTATGGTATGCATGTATGTATGAGCGTACGTCGCCGCATCAACTGTTATTCGACATAGATACATTGTTGTAACTGCGCAAACACTCATCTACAATTCTATAACTGATCGTCGTTCATTCTGCTCAGCGCTTCGTCGAGTGCAGCAGTTCGATCGGCTTCCATGTTGGCTTCCTGCTCCGTTTAATGTAAATATTTGGTGACTTAATCAAGTATTCGTTTATTTGAACAATTGCACGTTGGGTCTGCAGTTATTTATGTATTTGGTGCAGATTATTTTCTTAAAGATCCAAATCTTCACATTGAAAAAATTATATTTAGCCACTTTTTAATTTCAGTTTTAAGTAAGCAGGGTTTAATGTGTAAAACGTTGAATGCATTAAGTATCAGTTATTTGAATGTACATATGTATGTAGATGTCTGATAAACATTAAATTGGCAATGGTTGTGCCTCAAATCATACTTCAAAATTCGTTAAGCGAACTGTTTAATAAATCCTCTTAATATTAGCTGCCTTCGAAGCGCCAAGCTTATAAGCGACTCCAACAAACAATACCAGTTGTGCAAACAAGCGGTCAACACTTTTGGTGCTGCCGTGTTCTAAACTGTCTCCCGACGCACGGCAACAGTGTTATGGTTTCTGCTCAGCAGAGAAAATTTACGTTAAAAAATGTTGCTGAAACCTTTATTTTGATTTCCTATAAATTTTCACAATTGAGTTGAGTTCTTATTTTTTAAAAATAAGAGAAAAAAAGTGTAGTTTCATTTGCTATTGAATGATGATATGAACCATTCACAATAGTATAAATAATAAACAAAAAAAAAAAAAAAAAAAAAAAAAAAAAAAAAAAAAAAAAAAAAAAAAAAAAAAAAAAAAAAAAAAAAAAAACTTCGTAGCACCGCATATTCTCTCCTACGAATTCAGCTCGATAACTTTGTTGTTCTTTTTCGTGCATTTTTTTTACAAGAGCGTAGAAGCGAGCGAAGAAATGGCGAATCGAAGATAGCTAGTGTTTAGTTGTTCTTCGAAACAGTGTTTTTCGAATTGGTTTAAATGGCAATTTGAACACATTCCACTCAACTCAATGCAGAATGCGGGAGGAAGACCAGTGCGGTAAGTAAAGGAGCATTATGACAGTGTTAGCCACTTGTGATTTGTAGATGAGGCTGTGTGGAGGCTAAATACTTTCCCATTTAGGCCTTTTGATTTTTGAAATGTTTAGTTTATTTGGATTATGCGTAAGAATCAGTAGCTCTTTAAGTCAACTTGTTGACTCGGATCCGCAATCTGATGTAGTGTTTCGCTAATGCTCTCTGATCGCACCGATAATTTGTGTAAAGTCACCTAAATATTAAAAGAAAATTTTTTAATTTTCTATAATTCGAAGATTGATAGGTTACTATACTGATCGGTTCTATTCTATTTGTAACGTTTTACATTAGGCTCGATCTATTATGTTGACCGCAGCTACGTTTCAGGTGATCCACACAATCTTGGTGGTCAATCGACCACCCCCAAAATGTGAAATTGTCTGCTCACCAAAGTGTTTTCTCAATAAATCCATTGAATGGCGTGATATGTGGGAAGTGACGCCGTCTTGTTGAAACAAGTGCGGTGCTACGAGTACATTAGTATTTAACCACTATTTGAGGCGAACGCAGCTGAGCGTACCGTTCTGTTATCGGCTTGTGAAAGCCCACACATTTACGCACCTAAAAACGCGAAAATAACAGAAATGACTGCTCGGTGGTGCGTTCTCGAGCGTTTTCGGTGGTTTCGATTTATTGTGTTGGCTACGGAGCGATAATCATAGTCTCGCTGATAACGAGAAAGCGTTAAAAAAATATAAAAAAATATATATATTTTGAACGCTTGTTGCTTTGCCTGTTGATGCCGCCAAGGAAATATAACACAACTAGACATAAACAAACAAAAGCATACACACACACGTAAACATACGCACTTGCGCAATCCTATGCCAACATGGCGTTGAGGTGTTGTGCGGCCCGCATGGAGATCCATCACCGTTGCAATCAAACGGTGCGTGCGCTGCATATGTGTATGTGTCTGGGTACATGCTAAAAAGGTGCTCATTGTGTTGGCTGTTGCGCTGCGTTGCGTTGCGCCGCGATCGACGTTACGCGCACCTGAGGCCGGCTGAAGCGAAGAGGCACATCCAGTGCTGGGCGATCAGTTGGCAGACGCGCAACAAGCGGCTAACGACGGCCAAGCAACGGCGACCGAATAGTGTGTGCAAACAGATGAGCGGAGTAGGCAAACAAAATGCGAGAGAATAAACACATTTCGGTGTGTGCGGAGCGTCAGCGCTTCGCTTTGTAGTCTTGCTTTTCTGGTAAAAGTACAAAATTATTTAAAAACGTTATAAAAGGAAACTAAATAGTCAACCTTTCTTCTTGTTTTTTCATAATTGTGTACATTTGTAGTTTTGTTGTTATAATTTTTGCTGCACTCAAGTGTAAATAAAGCGGGAATTTGTGGATGCGTTTTAGTAATGCTTGTTGTTGGTTATGATTCAGTATGATCACAAGTCGGATGTAAGGTGAATATGATTAGAATGCTCTAACAGCGTTGCCACTTGTTGCTTAAAATCACGGAGCTGCGCCTTGGTATAGCGGCCTGTCACTTCAAACATTAGTCAGCTTCTCTGTTGTAGTAAAAATTATCAAAGCTTGGTACCTTTCCTGCTGGGGTGCTATCGCAGAAATCATCCTTGCAGTCACCTGCTTGTAACGGAATCGCCTCCTATAAGCATCAAGAAGTCATTCCTACACTACGTTGACAACATTAAATAATATGCCGACCAGACTTCAGAGGCAACTAGCTTCCGACAAGCACTGACCGCCATTCACAGTGAAGCCAAAAACACACTCATCGACTCTCTATCAGTGAATGGCGTACTTGGAGTCAAACCACCACCCATTGCATACGAAGAGCTCGAGCTGCCAGCTTCACTCTGGATACTGTAGCAGGTTAAACTCTTACTTACCCAGAATAGACCCCGACATATCTAATATACATATGTTCTGCATGCAATGAGTCTCCGCATGACACTGACCACCTCTAATCCCACTCATCTGACACGCCTCTCCCTTTATATATAATGCCTCTCCTCCATGAGATTACCTGCGTAATATATTACCTGGAATTTCGTGGTTTTGAATATTACTAAATGGTTCTCCAACTGAGCCGGGATTGCTTCTAGAGAGATAAAGATTAACTTTGGTCAGTCGAGCTACATATGTGAAAATATTCTAGCTCTCCGCAGGCCTGACTCTATAATTCAAGAGTCGTAAAAGTATATATTTCACAGTTCTTGTGGGGATATTTTACCGATCTGTCGCATTTAAAATGTACCGGGTTATGTAGAACGGGGTAAGTTGACTCGCGTTCTGCTCACTGCTGCTGCGTCGCAGACGTTAGTTCTGAACGTTGTTGCATTCATAGCAACAGTTCTAATGACAGCAATAGTAACAACAACAGCAACACAAAAAACGATAACAACAGCACAAAGCCAACTGCTGTTGTATTCGTGTACCAATGCGATCGCAGTCGACGACGTTCATAAGCGTTATGACGTCTTCGTGTTGGTTGCGCTGGTGGTGTTTGTGTTGTTGTCGTTGCCGCAGCGCCAGATATCGACTATAACTGTGACGGTGGCAGTTGGTGGCTGGCGCGTCGGGTTCACAATGTGACACGGCGTAACTCCCCTACCATTCGTAGATCAGTTGCCGGGCCGATCGCACGGCTCACTTGCCGACTCGATCTTGTGTGGTGTGTGCGCATAATATAAGTTAAACTTTTTTCCCAACCGTTTGTGTGGTATTTGAGCAACGTTGGAGCCGCGTTTTAGTTGACTGCTAAGTGCATTCAGGCGAACGGCTTGCGTTTGTCGGCTTCGCACGGTCGTTCGGCGCGATCGCTGATCGCATTGCAAAGTACAACGCGCGCTTTGTTTTTTCAGCAACAAAAGTAGAGTCTACAAATATAAATAATATTGCGCTCAAGTAAAAATAGAACGCGCGAAAAAGAGTTTATAATTACAAGGTAAAAAGAAGGCAAACACGAGAACTTTACAGTCGTTTTTTAACATACCAAAGGAGGCGTATCCAAAGGCAGACACACGCACACAGGGTTGTTTACGGCGTCGAGTGTGTTGAGTGCATTGCGAACGTCGACATTTGTGAGCCGAAATTGAAACGCCGCGCAACTTTCGGCAACTGCTGAATGGGCAGTTTTCTTTTCGCGCAGAAAATATAAAAACTAAACAAGAATCCAAAGTGAAAATGAGCAAAAAACGAAAGCCAAGAACTTGTGCACATTGGACCGCAAAACGCGCTGACCGAGCGCTTGCCCCAAGCCGCCGCGACGTCATCTGGGTTCAACGGGTAGCAGCCGCATTCAGAGGTGCTTACTTTTCTTTTTTGCAACTCACTTAATTGCTATATCTTATTTATATTACACACACACATACATACATACATACGTACTTACATGCATTAGCACTTACATAAACCGCTAGGAAAATGAGCTTTTACCGTTACGTAAAGTCATTCGCGCAAACACTTGAAAGTTGTCAGCAAGAGCCAGTCAAACTGTTCAGAATTGACCGAGTCCACGCACCAAAAAAGAAAAGAAAAACCAAAAGCAAAACACACGCAAACAACGGCGAAAAAAAGCGAAATGCAAAAGCAATTTTAATCGGTCAAAGAAGCAAAGTTTGAAGCTGCGCTTTTGCCCTCTGATCTGACACTTTTAATTTCATTCGCGACTTGTGTGTGTTTGCAGTGAATGTGACGGCGCATTAACTGTCATGCATGCGCTTTTGTGTGTGTGTGTGTGTGTCGGTGCTGCTGCGAGTGATTCGTATGTATCGTATGTTGTGTGTGTATAATTACTAATTCTTACAAATTAATTCTGATTATTTGCAAAAAGTACTCATCCAACCAGTTCGTCTGTTTTCTGTTTTGAGCGGCGGCGATCGTCGATCGTCGAATTGACTCATAAATATTTATTAGAGAAAGTAAGTTTAAGCTACGGTGTGGGGGGTGGTGTGGAGCATCACTGGCTATATCCAATTTTAAGCCATTAGAATGACTTTTTCGTTACAATCGCTTTGTGAATAATCTTCATTTTATTATTTTAAAATAGTAAAAGATTAGGACCATAAATATTGTTTTTCAAGCCATTAGAAACTTAAATTAGACCTAAATTATTTTTAAATGCTTTGAACTTCGGAAGAAGTACCATTAAATTTATTTATTTAAGGATTAACAAAGAAGTTCTCTTTTTTACGCTCTTGCCTCAGTAAGTTTTATATTTTTTCAATGGAACTCAGAAACTTTGTGTAGAACAATTGTATAAGCAACTTACTTAGACTGATGACTACTCCTCTTGGACTTAGCAACTGAAGTCCAACTGGTATCGCAAAGGAGCAAACTGGTCTATGCGGGGCTTATTGACCTACCATATTAACCTAACTAACTAACCTACCCAAAGTTGATAAACTGGCAAGAAAAGGTACCCTAACTCCGCTATTAGTAGAATGGCAAGGTGTCAGTGCTACCTTCTCCTCGTGTGTTCTACTAAAGCATAGCTGGGCTTCACTAGCTTGGCCAGCGCTGGGCTACTATCCGCCTTTTGCCCAAAAATCGATCTAAAAGATCCAGTGAGCCTTTTTCCTCAGCAACTCCAGCTTCTCCCTAGTTGTAAAGGCCATTGGCCTCCGCAGCCATGCTGTAAGGCTGAGAATCTTATCGCACCTCGGCTGCAAATGCTTTATGGAAGAAAACGAGGTGGAAACATTTTCTAAAAAAGACTCAAACGGTTGAGAGTCACGTCCTCAGATATCCCACCGAACTGGAGGAAATAGAAATTAAATATTAATGACGTGGGTTTCCTTGGGTAAAAAACAGCATTTTTCAAAAAAAAAAAAAAAAAAAAAATTCTCATTGGAAAAATATTTTAAATTCGGCCACGACGCCATTTCCGGAAAAAAGATGCACCCGCGTTGGCAGGATACCTTCTTACAGAATCATCTAAAGTGAGAAAAAAGTGTTTTAGCTAAAACCTTAACTTAGAACTTGGACGAAGGAACAATGGCTGAAAATTGGGTTTTTGGCAGTCATTTTTACAAAATTAAAATTTCAGTGAAAATCTCGCGACATTTTTGTTTTTGAAATAGTTTTAATCAAAGAAACTTCGTCGTCCAAGTCTTTTAGAATTTTATCTCGAGGACCTGTGTAAAATTTCACGAAGATCGGTTGGGTAGTTCTCAAAAAATCTTTGCCAACCGAATTCAATTAGCGAATTGTGGCGAAAAATGAATTGACTCAAATTAGCAGCTGTTTGAATACCCCTTATACATTAGGACATTTTAATAATAACTAAGGCGGATTTGAAAATAAAATATTGCTTTTATATATTTTATATTTTTGTTTGAAAACAGGGTGACATCATTTCAGTTATTTTCTCAGGATTTTTTTCTTTTCTGCTTGCAAAAATAATTTTAATTTCTAACCTCCAGTACGCAGTCTTTTACATTACTTTTATACATTATATGCCATATTATTTTTATTCGGTTGCCTGATATTTGATTTCATATTGACCTTGAAGAGGTTAGCCGAGTTTGCTCGCATGCGCATAAAAGTCGTAATATTCATTCCACTTTTTTTTTTTAGCTTACAACGGCTTGCATTTTAACATTTACAACAAATTTTGTGCTTCAATCCGCATACACACACACGTACCCCGTATTGAAGTGAGTGCACTCGCGACTCTTGACAAGATTTGCAAACTCGCCTGGTTCCTTTCGAACAGTGCGAAGAACCGCTTGAGCAAACTCGTTTGGGAACAACACTTTTGTTCTATAAAATAAATCTAACTAACAGACAAGGCAGCGATCATAGATCTTATTAATTTATTTTAATATAATAAAATTTTTATAAATTATTAAATAAATTGATGTATTATTATATTCGCTAGCCAGTGGCAGGCAAGCAGTCGGTTGCTAGCTAGCAACTAGAGATTTTTCGCGCCGCTTTTCATGCTCTGTACGTGTGTACGTGTATATGTGGGTATGTACTGTTGTAAATGCCGGTTGAGCAGGTGTACAAATTGCACTGACTTGCATGTCTTTACGCCTAATTAGAAGATTTAGCTACATACACACATGCACACCCCGTATATGTGTGTGAATAAGTCGGAGTTTGGAAAAATGTGTGAACGAAATAATTAGACAGCAAATTGTCAAGATCCGCATGCTCAACGTAGCACTTGGGCCGCGTGGGCGGCAAGGGGCGGTGGGCACTTGGCAACAAAAGCACATTTTCGCTCCTGCAATGACATTGGCAGACCACAAAATGGGCGGCGCTAAAAGTTTATGCAATTTTTATTGCAACGAAATTTATTTATTTCGCGTTGGGATGTAAAAACCGGCTGTCGGCTGTACGCTGCACTTCCACTGAAATAAATCATTTGAGTAATAGTTTAAGTTTAATAACATGCACATGGAGGCATTTATAGAAAAATAATTAAATAATATTTTTTTTTCATAATAAGCTTTAATGTGTGTGTTGTTGCATATGGCACGTATTTAACACAGATGCACGTATACAGGGTGTATCATCTTGTATAACGGCATGTAAAAATTTAGCGCCACGGAAACCCCAATTCAACGCAAAGCAAACGTTGAATGTTTTTTTTTTCTTTTTTTTTTTTCTTTTTTTTTTTTTTATCGAAATATCGCACTTATGTATATATTGATGCCTTGCATGGAAAATGGTCGTGCTGTTTGTGAACTTGCATATCGACATTTTTTTTAATAAAGCGAAGCGTTCATTGAAAATTTTAATGTCGGGAAAGGTCTTAGTGACACTTCATCATTCGATTAAAAAATCGTTAAAAATCTGTTATCAAAAGCATAACACCCAGATTGCCTTGATTTAACTTTGCCAGGTGATTTTTGTGGAGTTATTTGTAAAGAAACAGTACTTCAGCATACCGCGGACCATTGAAAAAATATTATAATATCTCAATTTTATAAAGCTGTCCTGGCACACCCTATAGACACATATAATTAGCTCGTATTGAGGAAAATGATAATCAGTGAGTTTTTGTTGTATTTTTTCATAATAATATGACATACAATAAATGTTTTATCTGTTTGTGGGTAGAAACAGATAAAACATCAATTTCGAAAAACACATGAAATGCTCTTAACTTTTATGTTTCTATTTTATTTTTATTATTTCTGATTTAAAGATTTCTTTGTTCTTATTCACGATGTAGAATCGAAAAAAACTTGATATTGCCTATAAAATATAATTGCTCTGCTTATCGCTAATAAACTCATATCTGTTTCTTTATCTGTCTTTTGATAAACGTTCACATATTTTTATTTTCGCTTTTAAGAGAGGTCTAACTTTTGTTATTGAGATATGCCATAAATTGTAGACCATACTTTGAAAGCAAAACTTGATAATGTTAATGTCAGATTTATCAGAGTGTTAGGCAATACCTGTTATTAAAAGTTTGTCGAAGCAAAGAACTGTGGGTCTATAAATATCTTAAAGAAATATTAGCGGAGGAATGGCCTATAATTTGAAAATTTTTAGAGTAACGCTGTCATTTATCCGGAAAAAATAAAATTGCGATTTTCGAAATTGCTGCCAAAGATATTTATCTTTTGTATCAGTAAATTAAAAAACCGAAAACCAAGAATGCTTAATATTAGTTACACTAATAGATGCATATATCTTCTTCTTAATATATAAAAATTACGTGTCACGTTGTTTGTCCGCGATTAACTCCTAAACTACTGAACCGAGTTTTGCGAAATTTAGCACACTGTGTCCAGTTCGAACCAACTTAGAAGATAGGATGGTCAAAACAATTCATAAATAAAGTAAGAAAAAACGTTAACTTCGGCGGCACCGAAGCTAATATTCCCCGAAGCTATTGAGAAAGCAGCCTTAAATTCGTTATTTTTTTCAATGAACATTTTTTGTATGAACATATTCAAAATTAAACCTCAAGTACAAATCCTTGGAGTCTCATGCATGTAAATAAAATTTTTTCAGTATTGTATAGTTTATTATATCATATATGGCCGGATCCACTAGGCTATTATATACATTATTTTTCGTTTCGAATAACAGTTATCGCCATTTTTATAGAGCTAAGCCACGGCAAAGACTAGTAACTTGTTTAGAGCGAGTTTCTGCAATATTTTTAGATTTTCTTTTAGTTTACATGACTATATATAGAAATCCCCTGGGAGCAGAGGACAGACAACTATTAGACACACTGAAACCGCATAGTCTGTTGACTACCATACCTGTTATGTACTTTAGTAGATTGCAATGGGTAAACAATTTTTTAATGAAAATCAAGAAGAAAATATCTCA